ATGTGCTGTCATAAGACTCCAGGGACGCACCCTTCCCCCACGCAAGAGACGAACATCGTGTGCCAAACCGGCACCCGAGCGTTCATACGACTCAGCCACAGTAGACCGACACGCACACACATCCCGCTCCTTGCTTACATGGACTTGCGGCGGCGTACCGGTTGAACACTCCACTACTTCATCGCGCCGGCACAGTGAGGATAGGGTAGGCGAATGCATATTGGCTGGCGGGTAGAAGTCTCGAGGTTGACTTGAGTTTATCACCGGCGACCAGCACCTCCTCGCAAGCACCAACTTATTAATAACTTGAGTTTGGCTAATTCCGAGCTGTCAGGTATCGTTCATTATAATACCACGTAGTCTTGATCGGATCGTCCCAGCCCTAGCTGCCTCTCCACTCCCAACCGCCAGGGTCTGCCGCTCTCGACACCGATCCACTCTTATGACGACGCCTGTGAGGCGGCGGTGAACGATTGGCAAACGCGTGTTTGTGAACACCATGAGCAGTTGTCGGCGACGATGTATTCATGCAATCTGCACCAGCCAACCTCTACTCACTAGCGTGGGATAATTCAAGTAAAATGACAATACCACACCGACTCTGCTCGGGGCTGATTGTCTTTACAGCCCCCGCCAAGTCGCCTCAGAAAATCATTGATGCCCAACCAGTTGATCTAACAACATGCGATCTATAATAAACTTGTAACTCTCAAGAGATGTGAGACAACATCGCAATAGCCTGGTGACTGGTCCGCACAACGAACAACAAATGTCTCATAGGGCTTCGAACACCTAATGCAAATGTCTCCTCGGAATCGGGGCCAAGGGCGGGTCTCGTGAGTTTGCATTCATGCATGTATTTCTCGCAACGGCTCTGGGGTGCTCATTGCGAGCGGAGCTTTGGGCGCGATGTTATTGTAACTTATTAGCTTCATTCTAACAATAGTCCGGCAGTGCCCTTATGTCCATAGTGGTGACTGCGCTGAATAGTTATCTCTCGACAGGTGACTATAAACCACCTGCCTGTGGTACTCAAACTCGGCGGGAGCAAGGCCAAGTGCCCGACAAGCGGTCAGGCCTCGCCGGATATCAAACAGAGGCAGTGCTCAAGCTGAGTTCATGCACAAACAACAGACGGGGCCTCGACAATTTACACACATATATGTGTTCGGGGGAAAAGTGTGAGATCTGATAGATGTACACCCCGCGCTACTGTGACTCGACGTCCTCCAGCATCAAAGACTCACAAGAGCGGTAAAGTAGGAGTCATAATCAACACGTGTGACGAAAGTTCTGGCGCAAAATTTTTTGAGCGGTGAGTATGTAGGCATTTGGGATACTTGGGGGGAAGGCTTGATGCCGTGCAGACAGGCTTGATGATCGGGCACCAACAACAGGTACGTAGCATCAACCAGAGCCCTAGTAGTCGTGGGCTAAAAGGCGCGGGTGTTGCCTCAAGAGCAGCCATAACCTGGCGGGTTGGGACGACTGAACGCTGACGAAGAAGCGCACAGCCCTGACAGTTTAGTTCATGCGAGGATGCGCGGGTATGAGCAACTGGAGCCTGACGGAACCGATGCTAGCGGACGGGAACGGAGAGACCGAGTTCCGCCTCTCGGGCAGAACATAATTGTAGCAAAAGATGCGAAAAAAAAGAGACATCAAACAAGAGGAAGCATCTGTTGATTATGAGGAAAAGAAAAGAATAGAAAAGAAAAGAAAGAAAGCTCCGTAATTAGGCCTCGTCCGTGCAACATAAAGCGAGTATGCAGTGCGACAGCAACAAATTGACCTGTCAATTTTGGAGGCGCAAAATCCAGGCCGCCTCTCGCAGCATCAGCATTCGACAGGCCAGAGGCCGTTTAAGAACGACTTGGCGGGTAGCTGATAGTATCAGCTGAAAGTTGCATCTCCTGGCCAGGTCGCAAACAGGGTCTGTTGGAGACGAGTGCACGGCACGGAGATTCTCGCCCTGCATCTTTGGCCGCAGATCGGGCTGGTCGTGATGCACAGCATTCGGCGGCTCAGGCGACGCAGCCGAAAGAGAAGAGTCCCAGCTCGTTGGGTTGGTTAGCTCCTAGACTAATATTTAATATAAGTACGTATGCGCATTGATCCCCTTCTGCGTTGAGCGCAGCCGGTTAGGCGGCTCAGGCCAGACAAGGCCAGCGAATTGGGTTGAGTATCGGTGCCTCGTCGAAGCCTGAGAGGCAGCAGCAGCGGTTCTGCATCAGCCCGCCGCGGACGACGGATAGGCACCTCCAGGCTCCACGGCCGGGTTGTTTATACTAGCCGCGATGATCATTGTGATGCGTCGAAGATCTACGCGAATGCCGGCGACTGATCAACATCCATTTCAGGGGGAGCTGGGACGTGGCTGAACGAAGCCTAGCAACTGTGGCTGGGTTAAGCTGTCAACGGAGCCACAGCCGTTGGGCACCCCGCATAGGACTTAGTGGTTGTACCCCCCACCGCCTGTTAGAGCAAGCCCTGTGCATTTCCAACCGCCCAGGCCTCAATCCACGATAAGGCGAGAATATCTTCACTCATTAACTGGCTCCAACTGGTCAGAGCTTTGTGACCCAATATCCCTCAGATTGATCCGCCAAACCAAATCGACATCCGTCTGGCTGATCGGGCAGCTGTGGACGTTTCCAGGACACGCGGCAAGCCCGTGAAGTCCAGTCACCCCTGCTGGCATATCAACCTTCAGCAGCTGTTCGCCTTGCGCTGCGACAAGTAGGCCTCACAATGGCCGACATCCCCCTCCAAGTTATCTCGGACAACTCAGCGTCGGAGCGACGTATCACACCGTCATGGACCATTGGCCAGCTCAAGGCAAGACTTGAGCCAATCACTGGTGTGCCTCCTCCATCGCAGACTCTCAGCTTGAAGACGTCCGATGGCCAGGTCATACCTATCGAGGCGTCCGATGAGGAGAATACACAACTATCGGCGTTCCCACTACAAGCCTATGCAGAGCTCCGTGTAAGTTGCTCAGATCTATCTTGCCACCTACCTAGTCCCACCCCCTTTCATCCCAGCAGGCATGTTCTCAGGTAGGAACTCCCGTGGGTGCCGTGATAGCTCAGGACTTGCCTTGGCCTACCAGACCGTATACATCCTCGTGGGTGAGTCACCCTGCTGACCTATTCACAGGTGGGAGACACACGGCCACCAGGCGCCAGAGAGAACTACACCGATACGTCAGCTGTTGACAAGTATGTCATGCCCGAGGAAGAGTATGAGAAGAAGTCGGATTCCGTGCGCGCTTGGAAGAAGGCCCAGCAGCTGGGACGTTTCGACCCCAACGCCCCAGATCAAGAGCAAGCGCGGATTGCTGCCTTGGAAGCTGACATTGCCCAACGCCACATCACTCATGGCCGACGATGCCGCGTTGGTGGCGACGACACGAGGAGAGGTGTCGTCAAATACGTCGGTGAGGTCAACGAGATACCCAACGGGGCTGGGCCGTGGGTTGGCGTGCAGCTAGACGAGCCGGCTGGCAAGAATGACGGCAGTATTCAAGGAACCCGGTATTGGGGCGAGGCATCGTCCATGAAGCATGGTATTTTTGTGCGGCCCGAGAGAGTGGAAGTGGGGGACTTTGAGGCTCTGGATGATTTGGAAGACATGGAAGAAATCTGACCTGGAACTTGGTCTGTGTTGCGAGAGAAGACCACGTGGTGGAGGAGAAGCAAGTGTTTGGGAAGTCCAACTCTATACGCTGATTCAGGTCCAGATCAAGGACTCACGCATCCATTCTTGAACCTGGGCGAGGTAGCGATCGACAAGCACCAAGGCAGTAGGGAAATACATGTGAAACCGCGTCGCTGGGCTGTACGCACGAAAGTACCCGGTAGCTAGCTCTCGACATCAGCAAGACCTCGGGAACGGGGGCAGGCTCCAGCCGTTTGAGCGTCAAAAATAGATTTTGTTATTTCGATCGTGAGCGAATATGTAATACGGCATGAAGTATCTCCTCAGCATTTGAACATTTAACGCGTTCGCAGTGACTGTGAACCTTAATATTTTGAAACCTGCCCCTGAGGAGGGAAAAGGGGTCCGGTTCAGCGTCCGTCCGTCTGATGGTCGGGGCTGTCTCAAGCTGAGTCGAGAGTAAGATGCATTTTGAAAGGCCGACGCGACCGCCAAGGGATCTTTCTCTGACCGATGAGCTGCCGAGCCAATGCCCAGTCGACGCCGAGACAGCGCCTAGACCTGGCTTCGCACCACATTTCTTCGTGATGGAATGGGAGAAGCGGTACGTACAACGAGCCAGCGATGGCCAAGATCACTGGAGTTCGATTTCCTGACAGTCCGCAGTCGGTCAATAAAATAAGGCAAGAGACTGAATATAAATGTCGGATAATATGAGTCGAGCTCAATCGCGCCAGTGAGGCTCAAGCGGGATTCGCAGCCACGTTGGTTTGTCCAGTCGCTATGAGCCTGGGCGGTCTTGGGGGTCCACCCGCGCCAAGGCCAAGCAATATCTCGAATGGCTGACCACTGGGAAAGCGCGGTCGTGACTGAATTGTTCCCCACGCTGGGTGCTTTTCAGTCAGGTATGGATCAACCGCCTCGCGCCTGCCTATGTCCGTAGCACAAGCTAGTCTAGCACTACTAAGTATGTAACCAGTATATCTCATTGATGTGCAACTTCGTCCTTTCACCTACGCACTCCAGTCCTTCCTTTGTCTGCCTCTCGCCTCACCCTCGACGACGTCCTCGTACTCGCGCAGAACCGACCCAATTCATATACCGGACCTTCCGCTCGCCCATTCATTGAGAACGGCGTGATCGATCCTATACGTTTCCCGTCCCCGATGCCTTCGTCTGCGACGGATGAAATGTGAGCTTCTGGGCGCTTTTCCGGCTTGAAATCACCCATAAGCAGACACGAGAAGTCAGATGCGACGGTCGCAAGTCGTGTCGTCGTCTCAACACTATCCACGGAGAGGGCATCATTCCCGAGGTCCGGCAGGAGCAACAGTGCCACCATGCGTTTTAAATCGACGGTCCCACGCTCTGCGCTTGTCATATCATCCGTTGTCCGTTGTGTACTTAGCGAACACGGTGTCTACGCAGAGGCAGTAGACGAATTACCCTCATGGGCTACAGACAACACTTTGCAATTGCAATTGTCCGCCGACTCGACCAACTACGCCGTCATCCCACTCAGCGAGAGTCTCACGCTGCCCAATTCCGAGTCGCAGGCAGGGGTAAGATTGCCGTCGACTAAAAGATCGGAGACTGCGATGCTGACCTCGCCTCCCAGAATGTTAGTATCAATGGCAATTTGAAGGCTGTTACCGAATCGAATTATCTGAAATTCACGAGCCACGACGATGTAGCCTACATGAGCTGCGACAAACCGAACGACGATGCGAGCATTGATCCAGCCCACATGATCGAGGAGTTGATGAAGCAAACTCCCAGGGCGATTGTGCTCTACTCCACCGCCAACAACAGGTGCGCTCTGAGGAACAGGCAGGGACTACGATACACCAGAATCCTTTCCATGGTGGACCCGGGAGAGGCTACGACCGTGCTCAGCCATCTCAACGGCACAGACCGGGGCGAAACGGTCGACGTCAAGATGTACGGCAACATTACGAATTTTGATGTATCGGAAGACGAGCACGGTCAAGGTTCTCACTCGGCTGTTGCTATGAGTGTTCTTTATAGTATAACAGGACTGATTACGTTCCTTTTCGTCGTTATCGTCGCCATTGGAGCCGTCAGAGCCCATCGTTATCCGGAACGATATGGACCAAGGCGTGCCAACGGGGGCCGTCCTCGACAGAGCAGGGCCAAGGGCCTTGCGAGGGCCGTTTTGGATACGCTGCCAATTGTCAAATTTGGGGACAAGCAGCAAGCCAAGCCCGATCCAGACCTAGAGATGGAGACTGCAACTACCGAAGGCCAGTATCCTCCGGCAGAGCGCGTCACATCGCAGTCTACGCAACAGGGCGAGCCGAGCACCAGATCCTCGTTTGCGAGCTCTCACTTCACTTCTACCACAGGCACAGGGACTGCGGAGGATAGTCTTCGGTGTTCCATTTGTACAGATGATTTCAGAGTTGGGGAAGATGTCCGGGTTCTCCCATGTGATCATCAATATCATCCTCAATGTATCGATCCTTGGCTCATCAACGTCTCCGGCACATGCCCTCTATGGTAAGTTGAAAGTGGCAAAAATCAAGAAAGTTTTGCTGATCAGTTCTAGTCGTCTTGATCTGCGCCCTGGACAGAATAATTCAAATGGTGTTTCGCCGGCTGGCGAGCAGGCGCTGCCACCTCCGCTTACTTGGGAGTTTGATGAGCACGACTCTGTGCCCGACTCATACCGTCACAGGCTGTCCCGCCTCTTTGACGTCAATCGACTTAGACAGGCATCGGTGGAGGAGCAGATGGAGATGTTACGGCAGCTGCGTGAAGTTAGGATCGCCCGCGAGTCGCCGGAAACCGGGGATGTGCAACCTTCGGAGGCTGAGGAGCGTCAGCAGGGCGCACGGTTTGCGTCTCGTTTGCGAGAGCGGTTTCGTATCTCGACCAGGGCTCAATCCGCGAACGCAAGGTGCTGAAATACGTCGACGGGGAGCGGTCCCCTTGGTCGAAGGCGACACCCTCGAATTTTCATTGATTAAGGCGTTGCGGTTGGCAAATGACTCTGGACAAATACCAAAAGAGCGGGCATTGGAAGGCGTTTGGGACCACAGATGCGCGACGCGCGGGCGACATGGCAAGGCAGCGCCACGTGCAATTATCATTTTGCTGGCATGGGGGAGAAGTACTGCATATACCCTGGTCTTTAGGATTATCTCGGCTTGCCGGTTGAGACAATGTATTGTTGTTATTATCCACGGCATGACGCAGGCCGTCCGGCTGTCTCATCACCATGCGCTTCGTTTTCCTCGAGCTGAGACGTGGTCTCAGACCAAGTTCCTCAACCATGCTCAGTGGCCGCACGATTAATCGTGGCAGCGGAAATGGGGATGGGGATGGTTCACAATCGTCATACATATGTGCAAATGGCTCGGGCCTCTCGGGCCAAGAGGGCCTCGGTCATGGGCGTCGACTAGTTTGTCGGGACATGCGACCCTCACCCGCCTCGGCTGGCGAACGCCATGGTCCAATAGCTTGGTGATGTGCCGATGAACATGGAGTGATAATGGCCCCAAGGGTGTGTATGCCGATTCTTGTCGGTTCGCTCTAATCATAGAGTCCCAGCCCATTTGAAGCACGTGAGAACACAATCATTTGGGGACAAGGCACGCAAAACAAAAGCCATCTTATTCTGGTAAAGTTCCACGAACCACACTGGCCCGACCACTGACGTGCTTGCGAACTCTTGGAGCGCTTTCACACTTGCGCGCATTCCCTTATTAGCTTGCCCTGCCTCGCTCGCATGAGCCGCGTCCCTCTCGTTTCTTTTCTCCGAGTCCACGCCACAGTCCACTGCTCTCCCTCGCGTGCGGCGCCCACACACCTCATGTCGCATCCAAACATGTCTCAAAACCTGCGATAGGAATGCCTTGATGTCCTCTCTCGTACGTAGCAGGTGTGGTACAATCTGCCGCCAATGTCTTGGGGCTAGTTGTCTCATAGGAGACCCGAGAGCTGGACCCCAGCCGGCAGGATGCAATGTGGCTTTCCCAATGGCCCGGCTTGGGCCTCGTTCGAGAGCCTGAGCGCAATCATTCTGAACGATTTCTGAAAACACATATACCGATGACCGCTCTTCATGTCTAGGTATCCTGAATCTGAACGGTGAGCGCAAGTGCCGACCCCTCGACTGTTGAAGCTTCCACTACTGGCATTGAGAGAAAACGTCCAAGTACTTGGAATAGCACTCTGTCTCCAGACGCTCCGTGGATCAGGACAGATCAAACGCAGTATGGCACCAAACTACGAGCTCCTCGGGCCAGCGGGAGGCGTGCCACTAGGCGGGCAGGTTATGAGCGTGATAGTCACACTGGCTGCGGTGACTGTCCTGACACTCTTCCTCAGTAGGTCCCTTTTTTCCTATAATCTTGTGGATAGCGTGACATGGCAGCTAGCTAAGACGTGGCAGCACAAAGAGTTCGAGTGGTCCGTACTTGGCGCAGCCTACCATTTGTGGTATGGTGTAAGTGGTCGTGTGCTATATTGCTCAAAGAACATGTGCTAAGTCTGCTGCGATAGTGGTATTCGCAATTTACGTCGACTCCTACGCTTTTGTTGTCGCAACCTCCATCATTCAACATGCACTGGGGGTGAACTCTAATATCCTCATCTGTCAAGGAGCCATCCTGCTCTGCTTGGCGTGCTATGTGACCACAAAGGTACGTCCCCTGTTCCAGCGAGTTGAAACCAAGGCATCTACTCACACATTGCAGATAGTCAGTACCAGTCTTCCTTGCTTTCTTAGTATGTCAACTAATCTGTCAAGCTCATCTATCTTTTCCTCGTGGAGAAAGCTGTACGTAGCTTTGTACCAGCTCCATCAACACCGCTAAAATATGTGACAGTATATCATTCGAGGGACCACCAAGCCTCGCATGCGATCCCGACTGTACCTGTTCAACTCCTTTGGCATGATCAGTGTGTACATTGTGGTGGTCACCATGAACTTTGTCTTGTAGGTTTACTCGCGAACAAGTCGCACGAGGGAGCCTCGATGGGCTGACAACAGGGACCAGCCGCATAACACGCATGGACCATAACGGACAGTGTATCATTGGCATGGAGAGGCTTGCCATGATCCCTCTCATTACCTTTGACGCCGTTGTCAATGTGTATCTGACCATCATCTTCCTCATCCCCCTGAAAAGTGCGTACTATCATCATCCTCGGCCGACCTCGCGTACAGGCGCTGACCAGCAAGACCTCTACTCCTTCAAAAACATGCCTCGCACCGCGTCCAACCTGCGCCTTCGTACAGTGGCGTTCCGTACCTTTATTGGTGCCGTCAGCACGCTTCTAAGCAGCGTCACGTCAGTCGGCATACATTCACTCTGCGGGAGCAGGCAACTAACGACAATCACAGCAACCTGACTGTCCTCATGGCTCTCAATGGCCAACCGGGATGGGTTTGTCTGATGCTCTGCAACTGCGATAGTGAGTCTCTGTCCTCCGCTGAAGGTAGCTGAGCGCTAACAGCCCCAAGTCCTGTTCTCGGCCATGGTCATCCAATGGGTCACATCCAAGGACAACGCCGGGACATCGGGCAACAACTCGCTCAACGCTGACAACAACAGCGCGGCGCGAAGGGGACGGGCCGTCGACGCAGCCCGGCGAACGGACTTTGCATCAGAGACAATATGCGCACGATGCACACCACCCTCGTCGCCGGCGGAGATCGCCCTCGTGCCCTCGGTGGCCACCACATACAGCAAGAATTCGTCCGACATAGCCGACGTAAAACTCGAGAACCATGTGTTGATCACCACGACGATCCAGCGAGAGAGCAGACCAAATGACGAGCCTCCATGCCAGCTCCTAGGTAGCATGAGCGAGATTCATGGGCTCCCAGGGCATCATCACTTTGACAATGACGCAGTGTGCGCCGACAGCGTCACGCGAGATACGCCTGGACATCGCGGGTCAAGAAGGATGAGCCCCGGTCCTCAGGGCTCAGACGGATACGTGACTTCGAGAACGATGATCACAGGAGGGCAACGTGGCAATGACCGAGGAGACTCTCCTTGCTGATATTCGTGGAGGAATCACGAACAGGTTCCAATGTAGCAGTACATACGCATAGACTTAATCGCAGCAAATGTCCAGCCAGGCAGTCGTTCTATGCAGTGGAGTGTGATCAAGTTTGTTTCAGGCAAATTTTGGCATTGATGGTCATTGCACGTGAGATCTTATCTAGCCTACCATATATCGGTGGCTCCCTTTTAACCCTGTCCCTTGAAACATCCTAGCGCCGATCCCCGTAGCAAAGCGATTGACATTCCCCTCGGAAGGTGGAGGGGAAGGAATGCAACAGACCGGTTCCAATCTGGATGAAACGATCGCACGGATGGCGGGAGTCCCGAAATGCAGTATGCACACCAAGAACATCCAGCCCCGAGAATCAGAGACGTATATAAATTGGATACCCAAACACACTGCGCCTTTGTCCTATATCTCCCAATTGTTGATGTATATACCCCCAAAAAACGTCCCTTGAAAAAAAGTGGGTTTCCCCTGGCAAGAAGTGAACATGACCGAAGTCGGTCAGATGGTCGTCACCTACGAGCTAGCGCTTAGGCGACGCTAGCGTAGAGAGAGCCAACGCTGCTGAGGGAGCTGGCGGTAGACATGAGGTTGCCCTCAGAGACCATAAAGTAGGAGTAGGCGTCGAGGTACTCAATGGCGTCCAGCTTGGGGATGACGGTCTTCATGAAATCTTCTTTGTCGGCGTCAGAGCCCAACGGGGCAAACTCGGTGAGCCAGATGGGCTTGTTGTCGCAGATCTCGTGGGCCTTCTCAATGTGTTCGAAGAGAGTGTCTGCGTACTGGGCCTCGGAGTACCAGTGGATGGCACAAAAGTCGATGGCGCAGCCGCCATCCTGAGCCTTGCAAGCGTCCATGAAGCTCTGGAGCCACTCAAGACCTTGACCAGGGTCACCAGAGTTGGTGACGCCGGGAGAACCGATCAGAGCCTGGCCAGCGTAGGGGTTGATCAACTTGGCGTGAGAGGCGGCGGCCTGGGCCGGGCTAATGTTAGCCTGTTCAGCGTGGTCGGGCTCGTTGAAGGACAGAATGGCGGGCGACCCAGCGTCGAGGGCACTGCGGCAGTTCTGGTCCCAGTGATCGGTGTGCGGGGAAGAGTCGCCCCAGAGCATAGGAATGTACTGGATGTTCTTATCCAAACTCCCGGCGGTCGAGCCCCAGCTGTAGGCCCAGCTGCAGGACTCGCATGACTGAGCAAAGGTGTTGGCCATATTGGGATCGTTGTAGGCGATGCCACGCTTGCCGGACACACCAGATCCAGAGCCAGAGCCACCCGAAGGCGTCTCGGGCTCCTTGGAGGGCTCGGGTACGCTAGGGAGATCGATGGAAGCGCTGATCTCAACGATGGGTGCAGGCTTCACCAAGGTGGCCAGGGTGGTAGTGGGAGCAGGGGCCACGACAGGAGCGACGGCAGGGGCCTGAGAGACAACAGGAGCCTCAGGAACCACAGGGTTCTCAGCGACAGCTTTGTCCTCAGCCTGGGGTGCTTGAGAGACGGCCTCCTGGGGGACCTGCTGAGGAGCGTCGGCCTCGGCCACGGCAGTGGGCTGAGGCACGTGGCCGGCAGTGACGTACACAGTCTGGTGGACGGTGACCCAGTCGGTGTGCATGGCGCGCTTGGCAATCTCAGCACGGTGAAGGTGACGGTGGGAGTTGGCGGCGACGGCCTGGCCAGTGAGGACGGTCAGGACCGCGGCGGTGAGGGCCTTTGAGGTCAACATTGTGGCTGTTGTTGATTTGGTTGGGAGTGAGTGTTGGCTTTGAGAGCTGCCCGGCGACGGATGTTGGATATGGGATTGAACAAGGAACTTGGACGATCGGTCGCAAAGTTCAAGTGATCAAGGGTGTATGAATGAGTGGTTGTCTTTGGTGTTTTGGCGTGGTGTTGATCGGCACAGCCGAAGGAGCGTCAAGCTGGCAGTCTGTCAAAGACGCGCGAAGGAGAGGCAAGCAGCTAGCTGCGTTGTATTTTCGAAATGAATGTTTGGTGTCGCTGGACGATTGTGAACAGAAAGGGAAGAGGAGTGGGAGGAGGGACGTCTTTTGAAGAAGAGGATCAGACACATTTCAAAAACGAAACGGCCCACTGGCAACCGCCCGGGACTCCCTGCCAGTCTAGCAAGTCGTGTCCCCTCACCTCCTCATCGACCGCCAATCGGGGGCTTTGCTGGTGAGCTTGCCATGCGCAGCACCTTGGTCTGGCCTTCCGTTCTGCCGCCACCCGTGGCACGAATCGCGGCAGGTTCGGTCGTACCTGCCTCACTATCGTTGCCTCTAGCAGGGGTGCCGGCATCGTTGCGGTCCCGCCTCTTCCGACTAGAGTCCGATTTGTCGGGTAGTGGGATCCCAGCACGGCTGCCAGCAGGCTTGCCAGCGAAGCACGGAGCAAGCTGAGCTGTCTGTCTGTGCCTGGACGTGACACTGGGCGCAAATGCACCAGCAAGACTTAACTCCATCATCAGTCTGATAGACCTGCTCTGGGCGCCTATGAAGCGCTCATGTTGCTGGCCGATCCCCCGTGCCGCCGCGTCGTCGTCACTCAGTGGGCGATGCAGTGAGCATAGCCGCGCAATTGTTCGGACTGAAACAAGCCAACTGTGGTCGACCACCTCTAGCACAGGCTAGTATTCAGGTACAGCGCCGTTGCGGCCCTCCATTACAAACGACGAGCCAGTCGGCTTGCTTCGTGTGCAGTGGGACTCCACCGTCTTAATGCAGGAACAGAAAAAGGAGCAAACCGGCTCAACACACACCGGCGCTACTTTTCGCACTGTGTAATCTACCTCAGCTGCTCATACTGCGCTCACTTTGTTTTCTGTCTTTTTTACAGTGCCGACAATAGTGACACCGTATGTTGTCAGCCTTCAGGCCTCCAACAAGCCGTCGACGAGTCGATCCACCAAGAAAAATGTTCTCGACTTTGGCCAAACACTCTTCACGATGGATCGATGCCCAAAACCTTTGTGCAGACAGACCTTTTGTATCCATATTAAGGCAATAGCGCACAATGACAATGGAACCGACGGACTGGCCCGACTGGCCTCCTTTACATTAACTTTTGGGTGCTATCCGCCTTACGAGTGGCAAAAGAGATGGGTCGGATAATGCGGGGCCACGATCGCGATTGCTTTTTTTGTCCTCCGGCAAGGTCTGAGTCAGTCAGCAACAGCTTTTTCTTTGTTCTCTCTTGGTTCGAGCGTCTGGCGTCCCGAGCTGTCGGCCGCCAGTGCCCGCCACGTTGGCAGTTGACACAATAACACTTGTTGTTGTTGCTCCGCTCGTGCCTGAACAAGTGGAGGGCTGGTTAAATCGGTGCCACACTGTTGCTCACGGAACAATGTTGCTTTGTTGGTGCACGGCAGCCAGTATTCAACTTCCAGGTTGAAGCCAGTGAAGCCACTGCGTAAAATGAAACTGCCCTTGGAAACACATTCGCCCACCTTGGCGGCCCCTCAAATGCCAGGCTCATTGTGTGAGCAAATTCATGTTCTTTTGCGGCGGCCCAAGGAGTTTTTCCGGTGTCTCCATCAAAACCCCTGCAGAAAGCCGTCGGGAGTGCAGCGTCGTGGAAAGCTTGTCATCTCTACGGAGGGCGGGCTGCCAATGAACGAGCGCCAGCGCATTGGGGGCTTGGGCGATGCCAAGCCATTCGATTCATACCGATCTTGACAGCTGTTGATCTTCGCAGCACCCGTACCGGATCATCAGATAGGGTTCCAGCCCCAGCTGACTACAGACTACAGAGTCTGATCTGAGCTCGCCGATATCAAACTTGCTCGCAACTCTTCAGGCGCGTCAATCAGACAAAGGTGAGTTCACCCGACCGCCAAGTATGCGCGGTCCAGTCATATACGTACTCGCTGTTGGGATTGGATGCGAAGAGATAGAAAAACTCGTCTTGCATGGGTCAGTCGATATGTGCCTATGTCACTCGTGGGCCAGAAGTGAGGCTTCTGACCAACAAGAGGCTGCTGTGGCGGGAATGAGGTCCGTCTTGGAAGGTCGAAGACTGGAACTTGTAAGTCCGGGTAATAATATTAGCCAACTTGCTTCAACGTCAATCGAAAACTTAACTGGTCCCAGTCTCGTGGTAAGCCACTCCCAGGAACAGGAACGAACCACACCAACCGGCCCATGAGAGTTTCTTATGCCTAATTTTTTTCTCTCTTGTCTTTTTTCCCGTGAGCTCATCGGTCATTGGTTCGAGAGGACATTTCTACATGCACGTTTGATCGTCGTGGCTGTAGTCCAGCATCTTGGCGCGATGAAGCTACCCTGCAGGTGCACTCAATACAGGTTGACGATGGAGGCACAAGTTGCTTTTGGGAGGAAAGATCCAGTCACGCGTATTTGATAGGTCTGTACAGAATACAAGACTTGGCAATGATCGATAAGTTCTAGACTTCTGGCCTATTTACTTTTTTCTCCATCTCAGTGTTGGTTAGCGGTCTGCGTGGTGCGGCGGGCGGATGACGTAGAAGACCATTTGGCTGTAGGGTTTTTGGCGCAGGTCACATTGGAAGACAGCCTTAGAAGCATCAAGTTTTAGGGCGGCCAATGACAAATAGCATATAACCTTCTAGAGCTCTAGCTGAAGCCAACAATTGTTGCAACCTGTGACTTGGGGTTCCTTCCTGAAGGTTATTGTAATACTGCGGGGCTTCGCACGATGTAGGGAGGACGTCGGCCTATAAGACTCCTAACCGACGAATACGACAGATCCACAGGGTCAACGGGCTCCACACGTGACGGCGCAGTGGTGTCGCTGCCACTCATCTCGTCCTCAGCTGAGAAGTAGACAGATCATAACATCTATCTAATGGTTGTGCATAAAATAAATCTACTTGCATTGTTGTTCGCCTTCGACTCCTTCCCTCCCTTAGAAACCAGCATCAAGACGGGAGCTAGGTCACTGAATGGTTCTCCGTATCAACTATTCCCATCGACGGACGCCTCCTAGCGACGCTCAACAAGCGAGTGAACCGGGGCATACAAATGGTATATGGAATAATAGACATGCAGAACATCTCGCCGTCTATGTTGACGTACCCTGAAACCGAAGCCTTTGACTATGGCGCATTTCTACAACAGAGCCCGGGAGCGGACGACGCCAACCTTCATCTGGCTTCTCCAGTGCCGCCACAACCACTGGCCACGACACCTCAGCTCATCCATCAGACGACAGCACCTAACGTAGGCACTGGGAAGAATGAATTCTCCGACTCTTCCCTTGGCAGGACGACACCATCAAGCTCGGGCAACAGGACTGGCAGCACAGACGCCACTAGGAAGCCGGCAGCTGAGACGCTGAGCCAGAGACAGAGACTCGAGCGCAAGGGGCACACAAAGAGCCGCCGGGGCTGCTTCAACTGCAAGAGGAGAAGGATCAAGTGCCAGGAAACACACCCGGCCTGTGGTCACTGCGTCAAGACGGGACTCAAGTGCGAGTACCCTGCCGCACCCCAGATCACACACCAGGTATGTGCCGATTCTCGCCCAGGGCGCGAATGCTGAGGAAATCAAAAGCCACATAACCAAATTCCGCTATTCAGCCTGCAGGACATGCGCTTATTCCAGCACTTTCTGACACACTGCTATCCGCACCACCCTCTGAAACAAGAGTCGGTGTGGACACACGAGGTGCCCTGCATCGCACACAATGTGAGTCCGTTGACGACGTAGACCCAACTCCCCCGCGCTATCTAATCACCCAACAGCATGAGTTTCTAATGCATGCCATCCTGGGGCTTGCGGCATCGGAGCTCACCCAGACAGACAGCAGCTTCGTCGCAGCGGCGATGAGCCACCGCGTCAAAGCGATCAAGTCCATCAAGAAGCGGCTGGCCGATGCCTCAAAGGACACCACCTCACCCGAGGAGACGAATGCGCTACTTGCTACCTGCTACGCGCTCACCTTCCAGTCCGTCAGCGTCGACGATGGGCTCGTGGAGTACATGACATTCATACGCGGCATTGTCATTGTCGGCATGCAGATGATGTTCAGGAAGATTCAGCCCATCTTCAGCACCCTATTTGAGGAAGCCCAGGATGAGATTCTTGGGCCGTTGATGCAGGGCCTGCCGCTCATCCGCAAGGGCTGGACGGACGCTGCGATGGAGGCCATCAGCGCTCTGAGACCGCTCTGCGTCGAGCCCGTCGAGGTAGAGTACCAGGGGAAGCTCCTCGACATCGCGCAGAAACTATACACCAGCTCCTGGACGGGTAGGTCTATGGCTGTGTGACCCCCCTGGCCATTGTGCTGATGAATCTGTCCGACAGCATACAAGGCTCACTCGCAGCAACATGCTTGGTGGATGATGCTTCCGCACAACGTCTTCCAGGAGCTCATCTCCCCCAAGAACCAGGTCCTGTTGCTTCTGCACACGCACTGGATCTCGCTCATTGAGATAATGACGCCCATCACGCAGCAAGAGCGTGAAGTCTGTGAGCGACGACCGCCAGAGAACGACCAGCCAATCGACCTTGGCTTCGCCCGCTGGCTCAAGTATATCAACGCGCGGGTGGACTATGAGCACCAAATGTTCAATCAGTGGCCCATGTGGATCGAGGCGCAGCTCGATAAGGATATCACGTTCTTTGGAAAGGTCCGTTGACGAATGATGTGAATCGCAGGTGGACCACTTAGTATGCCAAACTTGGCAGGAGACCTTGGATATACTGTCATGTTCCAGACGTGATGTTGCTGTGTGATAGCGTGGCGTTGGTGTTTCGGGGGTAGCGAGCGTCACTACGTAGTAGCGATGGCCTGCATATTTTTCTCCTTGGCTTAGTCGTAGGAATGCGAATTCGTGGTATGAGAAAGCCCCATGTCTGGCGAGATTGATCTTGTCCATAAAAATCACCGGCTTATTTGGCTCACTCGTTGCGGCCCTCACCACATGCAGGCGCACGAGAGTACGCAGAGGGCGGCGTCGGAGGGCGTGATAGAAGCTCGAGGGGACCAGGGGCACGCCTGACTGTATATCGCAAGGCTGATGGTGATCATGACCTCGTTCCTGGTGTGGATGGCCCGAAGGATCCCTACTCTCGCGCTGAGCAAGTATGACGACGGGGATCTGTGCGGTTTGGCTGGTTGGCTTACCTCATCTCTTTTCGGATGCGTGGGATGAGGATCACTTGTACAATTTACGTAGTAGTCTCAACACTTGATGCAGTCCTGGGGACGTTTCAGCCCCATGCTGTGGCAAACTGGTAGCTGTGTCGAATGTTTCACATCCTCATCTCTTGCAGGGCATCCATCATCCATCCGTCCCCACTATTGACGACGTCCTGCAAGTCCCGGACATAGCCGATTGTACGCTTCTGGTGGAGAGGCAGGTCGCGACCCCTTGGTGATGGATGTCCATCTGCGCGCCCATGAGGGCTTCAGTTGACTGAAGTTGGTGCAAGCAGAAAGTAGACGAGCAGGTACAATTGCCACGAGGGTCAATTTTAGTAGCCCCCGCGCTATGACGTAGGCGCCCTGGATGACTGGAGTCTCCCTATTATCCCGACAGACTGAGGGAGCATCACCTCATCTAAAGAGAACCAAAGCCTACATTTCAACGTCTTCTTCACTACTACCATCACCCGATGTGCTGACAGTGACACCATTTTCTCAGGGTCTGCTTAGGCTTCTCGGTGGCTGGACCCTGCAGAAGGGCAGGCCGAATGTGGGGAATGACTTCACTCCGTTCAACATCTCTCCGTCTGCAGATGGGGTCTCACTCAGATCAGCATGCCAGTGTCTCTGCCAGTCCCGGCAAAGCCATCAGTAATACTATCATTTCCCAGAGACGCCACTACGTACCTACCAAGCGCAGCTCGCGAGAGTAAGCATGTCAATCCTTTGCCACCACCTTTCCTCCATGTCTTTGCATGCTCGACTGCTCGCCCAGCTCGGCAGCTGAGCATGACGATTGTTTGGTGTCGAGATGGGACTACGCACTTGTGTATATAATGATGATTAACCACCCTTCATCGTCCACTGCTCTGTCCCTCGTCACTCCTCATCTCAACCTCCAAGGCAAGAAGCTGGTCTTCACCTCACCTCACAACCTCTTCCATTCACTTGCAGTATTGCATCCTAACGCAGGTCGTTTACTCACAATCTTTTTAATACCCCATTTACCCACACGCAAGATAATCCAGCATGCTTATGAACGCACCCACCGCCGCGGCCATTCTGGCCTTCACCTCTAGGGCCATGGCCGCCCCCGTGACCGGCAACACCAACGTTGAAGCTCGCGAGGCTGTGCCCCCTCCCGAGGTGCTTGCCGAACTTGGTTTGAATGTTGAGCTTGGCGACACCGAGAAGCGTGATGGCGGGATTCTCGACTTGATCGCCAACCTCGACGGCAAGCCTGGAGAAAAGCGTGACGGCGGGATTCTCGACTTGATCGCTAACCTCGACGGCAAGCCTGGAGAAAAGCGTGACGGCGGGATTCTCGACTTGATCGCTAACCTCGACGGCAAGCCTGG